TGTGTATTAACAGTTTGCTTCCAACCAGGAATATCTACAAATCAATAAAAACTGGCCCTGGAAAAGGCCAGCTCTGCACAAAGCCATGGCACCCCAGTATGGTCACGTGCTCCCCAAGGCTCTGTCAACTCAGTTTCATCATGCCCAGAGAAGGAAAGTTGCAGTTCTCCACACGCATCATTCCACTCCTGCCTTTCATAAAAGCTCTCCTGGGTTTCAGGAGGATGTCAAACTAAGACCACTGTTCTGTCACTCCTAAAGCAACAACTATTCCTGTATCTAAAGACACGCTGCGCCCTGTGAACAGAAATCAAAGATGGTCAAACATGCCAGGACAGCTGTCCTGAGAAAGGGACAGTTCTGTGATGGGTATGAAGATTGTCCTTTTTTAAAAAATAAATAAAATATCATTTGAAAAACAAGGAATAAAACAAACCCTCAGTGGATACATAAACAGTTCCTCTTATCTTTTAACGGTATAACATCCAGAGAAAAAATGGAAGATCAGGATAGTGTATACAGTGTTAAAAACAACTTACACAAGCCAGTTCTAGAGTCACAGAGCCTGCAAGTGCCTTTGTGCCAGCCCTCCGACAAGTTTTGCTGTGCTGGAAGGGACAATTAAACAAGAATACGGCAGAGGTCTCAAATCATGAGTGAGTGGCATGGAGAAGAACTAGAAACACTTACTTATTCCATCACACAATGCAAGACCTAGGCCCAAAAAATGATCTGATAGTAAGTTTAAAAGAAACAAAGGGACCTGCATCTTCACACAATATCTGAGTAAACAGAGTATAATTGATGCATAATTAAATAGCAGAAGTCATTGCTGCAGGATGCTGAAGAAACTGAAAGCATGAGCAGATTCAGAAAAGGATGTACAAGTTTCTGGTAGACAGATGTGGTAAAAACAGTGGGTGCTAAACACAGTGGTCTAGGGACAGCTGCCAGCCCTCAATCCTTGAGGAGACAATTGCTGGGAATCAGAGAAAGCTGACTAGAGCCATGCTCTCCCTGTTACACCTGCATGGTGTAACCAGCTACTGGCCTCTGGCATGGAGACAATCTGGGTTAGACCTTTGGTTTGGCCATTTTCACACCCTCATCGTCCTTCTAATGTTTTTCTTGCACAAGCTCATTGTTAGAAAATCTATCTTCACTCTTCTTCTTCTTCCTCCTCCTCCTCCCTCCACCAAACCACTCTCCTCTCCGTGATGTGCTCCCAGCCTGGTGGTGCTGACATTCCTGCTGCCTGCTGCGTTTCCCATTCTCAGGCTCTTGGTCACCCTGCAATTGCAGGCACCACGTCCTCAGCCTAACACAGCACTGGCTCCAGTCCTGGCGGTGAGGATCCATCACGGGACCAACCATGCTGCTAACTCAAGCAGGACCTGGAACAACAAACCACAGAGGCTCCCAAAAGAGCAGAGGGAGCACAAATGAGAGCTGATCCTTGCATTAGAATAAGCACTAATGAATTTATCCAGGCTACCTGAGGATACTCTTGGGGCAGCAGCTTGGTTGTAGCTTGTTAGCCGCAGCAGCTTTCCTTTCTGCATAAATCTTGACCCACGGCCCCCTGCTTTCTGCACGTATTACTTCACTAGTGCCCCTCTCTCCTGACATGAAGCACTCTTTGTTATTTCCACCCTGAGCATCCAGCTTCATGTAGCTCAGGTTGTGCACCTCAGTCCTAACCCCGGGGCTTCTGCGAATCGAAATGACAGGTACCTAAGGAGGACTGGCAGATGGGATGGTGGCTTTCTATTGAGATGGTTTAGGGGGATATCTGAAATGTTGCAGCATTCAAAGAAAGCCTCCTCTGCTTTCTGCTGCCCTCCCACAAGGCTGAGCTAATCGAAGTGAAGAACATGATAAACTCTCTGCCCCGAGTCAGCTCCACACTGACAGTTCACTAGAGATACAAGATCGCTCAGTGACATTAAAAATGTCAGCAAACACCGATCAGGCTTGATGGAAGGGATGCATTAGCAGGCTGGAGGGTGGGCATGGGGCAAGGTAAAACTTCAGCAAACCCAGTCAAGTGCACAGGCAGCTTTTTTCCCCCTCTGTTCTTCCACAGAAGCTTTTTCACAGATCCCAAGACACTGTGGCCACCATTGCAGCAATCAGGTGTGGAGCTCACCACCACCTGCACGGCCAGATCAATCCAACAAGGTCTGCCTGAGGCAAAACAAGCGTGGCAGCTCACGGGGGCAGTTCCTGTCTTCAGCTTGCCCGAGAGGCAAGTCTTGGAAATTGTGAAAGCTGCCTGGAGGCACAGGGTTCTTGCCTCAACTACTCCTGCAGCACAGCAGAGACGAGGGAAGGAATTTATTGGCCAATGAACCATGAGAGAGAGACTGTCTCACCAGTGAGGGAAGAAGGACTGCTGAGCTCCAGAGCATCCCGCGCTCTGGCACAGGGAATACAGACAAGGACTGTTTCTTAAAATGATATAAAACAGAGACAAAGAGGACCTGAAGTTGTGTGTGCATGGGCAGAGGGAACCTGCTACTGCACTACACATAGGTACACAAACATAGGTACAAGTGTGTAATCCTACTCTTGCACTGCCTGGTAGTTGCAGAAGGAGCTCCCTAATTCAGAAAGGTCCTCTTGCTATCACTGCTCACAAGCAGAGACCCAAAGGAGGGACAGAAGATGCAGGGGGGGCCCTTCTGCAGAAAACTGCTGTCACACGTGCCTGGTTTCTTGACATCTGAAACATTCAAGTCTCTGCATTATCCATGACCTAGAAATCATCAGTTTCACACTCCACCCCCCTCCCAACACCTTCACTTCATGGATCAGGTCAGAGGCAGACTAAGCCTACAAGTCAGGAACACGCCAGAGGGAGGGAAAAAGGGGCCACCTGAGCTATGCAGGGACGAACAGAGGGGCTAGTTACCTGTCCACTCTTATTTGTCTCACACTGGGAGCTCACTCAATAGAGACTGAGGCTCCATTGGGTTTGCCTGCTTGGAGAGAATTAGTTATCTAAGCTGGAAATCCTCTCTTGTGAAAACATACAGGCAGTTGCCCCACAAGCACCTGAAAGCAGTGAGTGGCATGGAAAGATCCTCGCCCCGGGGTAAAAGCAGGTCCCAGGAGAAGCAGCTCTTAAATACAGGACAGGAGATGTCCCTGCTCTCCTCTGCAACATGGTTCACTTCCCAGAGGGATGTGGGGTCCCTGAAGCCACCCTGTGTCAGAGGGCATCAGATACTGAAGCGTCAGAAAAACTTCATTTTTTTAAAGAATGAGAGGGATTGGAGGAAGATGAACATTTCTCTCTCACATCCCCTCCTCACGTGATCTGAAGGAGGTTGAAGCTTTCCTTTCCAAGTAACACATGTGCAGAGGAGGACAACCCCACCCATGTGCCCCCATCCTACACGCTCAATATGTGACACCTTCAGAGAGCTGGGAAGGGGAACACTTCGCTGCAACAGCTTCTCTCCTGCTCCTGCCTTTAGCTCTGTGCTTGGGACCTCATGGATGCTCAGCAGCCCTCAGCTTAGTGTCAAAGTATTTGCTGATGTGCAATACACGAATGCCCATCTTGAAGAACAGCCACTTGCCTGGACATCCACGTTATGGAGAATCCCAGCTCCTCACACACTAAATCCAGGAGCCTTGAACTATGGGAAAGAGCTGTAAGTCATTCATCCAGAGGCCCAGAGGAGGAGCTGGATCAACCTACTTCTTAGCAAACATCACAGTACATAGGGATTTTTTTAAAAGTATTATTATTCTGCAGCCATCAACCTGCTGGTTATATAGCTGCTATCCATTCACCGGAAGTTTAGTGAACTTCAAATGGCGATCATTAATGGTCACTGAACTGCAGAATGCCCCAATGTGCTTTCAGATTTCATTTACCAAGGACCAGCAATCAGCCAAAAGATTTGCTCTGACAGCAGGGAAATACAAGACCCTTTGACAAGTTCAGCCAGGAATGTGCTGCCAGCATCCCTTGTTACGTTCATGCTCTACCCTATTTGACGGAACAGATCATGCAAATTGTCCTTCTGCGGCCGCTCAGCCTGTCACTCACGCTTCCATTTAAAACAATAAATAAATAAAAGAACAAAAGAAAAGCCCACAAGAACAACAAGCTGTTTATAAGCAAATTTCACTTACTGAGACCCCTAATTACCACAAAAAGGCACAGGAACCCAAATAAAGCACTAAATTGGATGGGGGAAGGAATCTTACTCATCCAAAGGTTTAACCAGGAGGGCCGCCCCAGTTTTCTCTTGTGCACAGACTGCAGCCTCCTCCCTCACCCTGCTACTGTACTGCTTGTCATCACACTTGTTCCTTTCTTCTCACTTTGGTTTGTGTCTTATGGCATCACCACGTTTTTCTGTGCAGGTGGAGCAGCTGTGCCAGGGGAGACCTTGTGGATGCACAGCAGGCTGCCCCTTAACCACTCAGTGAAGGCATGGAGCAAGACAAGGCATCAGACAGTACTGAGTCCAAGGCATTTTGCTTAATAAAGTGGTCACCAGTCTCTTAGGTGGATGTGCTGCTGAGACATCTCCCTTTCCCCACGCCACAAAGGGAAATGCTGATTTTTATACTGGAGTATTTCCACATTTATTAACCAGAATTTGGCCTGAAGGGAACCATGCTCCTAGGAGCCTTATGCGGCTGCAAAACAAAACAGAGTCAGCAACACTGGGGACAACACAACCTTCACTGGAAAGGGGCCTCACAGTGTCCCACTATTATTCAGAGACATCGCACTGTGCCTGCCACAATGGGATTTTCCCCAGCTGCAGAACACATCCCATCAAGTACAGTAAGACTCTATTAGAAGAGATACAATAGGGACCTGGAGGACTCGCTCAGCCCAGCTTCTGAGGAAATAACTCATTTCAATGCAAAGCAGCAGTAGTTATTAGACACCTCCTTAAAGAGGAAAAGTGAAGGACAAGGGGAGGAGGGAGAGAGGGAGACAGGGACTATGGCAGTTTGCACAGAAGTACCTTTTTCAGATTAATCCACTGTTTGAAGTAATCAGCAACCGGCAGCCCTAAGTACTGGCATTGTCCTGGTAACCTGTAAGAGAGAAGAGAGCAAGTTTGATTCAATCAGTGTCCTGACAACACAAACTCTGTTTTCTTAAGTGCATTTTGTTCAGAGATGGAAGAGACCCTCAAGTCTGCTGTAACACGCTGCACATCAGAAGGACCATAGCTCTTGGCAAAAAAATCTCATGAGAGCACAGCTTTGCTTAAGACTTATATACATCCAGCCACAGCTAGGCTGCTGAAACCTTTCGGACTAAACATTTTGAAAAGCAAGTGCAGCGCTCAGCTCTTCTCCACAGTGGCTAACACACAAACACGACTGGAGTATCCGCGCTGTCCTTAGCTAAGTGAACCCATCACAAATCCCTGAAAAACCATCCTGCTTAGCAGCTTACAGGGCAGACAGGATTGACAATTCACTTGTCATACCCTGGTGCTTCTGGATTTGGCCTTTATGGTTAAAACACCGAACGAGACATGAGGGAGGGAAGGAGGCAACAAAACATTCAGTTTTGGGTAGCAATGCTGTAGGACCAATGTTTTAGGACTAGGAAGGCAGAGGCTGTTTTCCAAGCAGGTGCTTGGAAGAAGAGCAGTCACAACTCTGAAGACGCAGGGTGCTGCAGACTGTCTCACTAGGGGTTTGAGCACAGCAGCCAGAGCTGCCAGCACATGTATTTACCCTCTCCCTTCCTACAGCAAGCCAATGGAATAGAGCTCAAAATAAAACAGCACTGGTAAGGGAGGTGGATTGCCTGAAGGGACAGCAGGACCCCAGGAAAGCTGTTTCTCTCACACTGTGCTGATCCCAGTGTGTTTGCATGGGAGCTACAACGTGCCCCTCAGCTGGGGAAGGCTGAGTTGCAAACTGTGTGGCTCCAGCCGAGCCTGTGCAGGGACATGAGTTATGTGAGTTTTTCCCGGCCAGTTTGATCTGATCAAGAGTAATTGATGGATCTTGTTCATTCACGTACTGCTGAGCACGCCTGGGGCACTGGTCACAAGATCTTTAACTGAAGCAAAGGAACATCCCAAATAAATATGTCAACTAAATAAATGACTAAATTAGAGCTGTTTGTGCATGTTAGAAGTCACAGCCCCAGAAATCTGCTTTTGCAAACAGAGGGGGATGGGGAATCTCCCAACTTCCTCAGGCACATGGGGGCTGTAGGGGGAGACTGTAGAGGAGGAGGGAAGAGCTATGACTGTCAGCATCAGCTGCTCAAACACCCCAACACAGACCACCACATCCAGGGCAAAGTCTTCTCCCATCTCCATAGAGGAAAGAGTGAATAGTCCAGACCAGACTTCAGACTCAAGACTGAAATTCAGGAACACGCTCTGGTCAGAAATGGATACAAGGTAGATACACCACCCTGAGCTAGGGTGCACCACCAGCACACCAGGCAGCACCTGAGTGCTCAGCCCAGCTCCCAACCCTTTGGTGAACAGGGCAGCATCTCTCTAGACATTTCCCCAAGCAAGGAGATGAAGGAGCAGCACAGATAATGCACTTGTAGATAATGTGAGATTCAGGGTAGTGCAGCACCAGAGCGGTCTGGTCTTGGTGATGCCTCCATTTCTATGGAAAGGAAAGGAAGGAAGCTGGTAAACATATACAAGGGAATCTCCTGGGAATATGTGGCCAACAGAGCCAGCATACACTGGGATTCACCTGTGTACCACCTTTGCCCTGCTTAGGCTAAGAAATTAATAGGCTCCCTGCGCCAAAACAATATGCCTGGTCCTGAGAAGATGCAAGTGTCATCATTTAGGAGCAATAACTTAAGTCATACAAACACATTAGAATAAAAAGGTACAGAGGAAGCTCTTTGAAAGCAGGAAGCCTGTCAAAAAAACGAGCTTGCAAGCAGCAGGTCTGTGGTGATTTGCAGGGTGAGCAATGTGACCTGACAGCACAGTCTCATCTCTGGGCACAGCTCATCTGATGTAAGCACTGAAATAAACCACCTGGAGTCACTCCTCACAATGGAACAGCCATGACATAAACAGGAGCCTGGTCCAGGCATTTTAGAGCCTTATACATATGTCCAAGACATCCCATAGTCAAACAGACCCCACCAGCCCCAACCAGCATGCTAAGAAACTCTTTCTCCAGGAAAGCTGCTTTCTACTGGTGCCCGAATCAAAAAAGGTCACAAGGAACCACCTAAAACAAATGACTGGTCTAAATACAGATATGTGGTTAGCTCAGCCTCTCTTAGACTCTTCACATTTAGCTAGAGAGGATGATGACAGGAGCTAGCAAAAGGTATGTTACTTAAAATTGAGTTTCTCCTCCCAACCCAAGAGGTTTTCATTAATACAGGTCTCAGTGTAGCTCCAGTTAGAGGAATAATTATCAACTCACCTAACCTCTGGATAGGGCCCAGGAGAAGTGAGTGCAGCATTGTTCTTGTTAGTCACAGGAATTGACAGCTAACCACCCAGTGCAATGGATGACATCTAAAACACTGCCATCCCTGTGGGACCAAAAGGCCCAGGAAACTGGACAGTCTGGTTCTATTTCCACCCTGAGACTGATGGCAGTGTGCCCTGGGCGCTGGACAGTGGGTCTTTAATTGGAGAAAATAAATGCTCCAAATAAATATGTCAACTAAATAAATGATGCATTTTTGCAAACAAGTAACAACCCCAGAAACCGCCTGTGAAGCCGTGTGACCTCAGGACATTCCCCCTCCCCCTCCATGCTTGTGCTCCCCTCATTTCACCTCAGCACCAGAGGGGCTACACCAAGTTTTTCAAGCACTAGGAAACCTACGCTCACACCATAACCTGGGCGGGCTGTCGGCAGCATGGACCACAACATCAGTCTACTCCCTGAGCTGGAAGATGCAGGCCTGGTGGCTCCAGGCCAGCGAGGACACAGCCACTTAGCAAGGATTAGCAAAGCATTGCTACATGGGTCTGGTCTAGTCTGCACATGCAGCACTCCCAGCACAGGGAACTGGGGGCTTTCACTGCACAAAAACCAGGTTCCCAGGTAGCTACGAGAAGGAAAACACTCCTGCAATGTCTTTTCCCCAGCTCCAAGCTTGTCCAAGCTACAGTGGTGCCCCCCACTCTTCAGCCTGGTAAGCAGGCAAGAGTTTCTCCATCATCTTCTCCAGGTTGGAGTGAATAAGGCACACCTGTGGTTGCCCTGGGGAACAGAAGTGCCATGGCCTGTAAAGAAGTAAGTCCATTTATGAGCGCCACCGTTTACTTGAGCTCATTTGATGAACAACCTCTTATGCTCAGTATAGCTTCTTGCTCTTGCTAGAGCCAACCTTGCACACTGGGGCAGCTTTGCTTGAGCACAGAGCTCAGGATTTGGCCCTCCCTCAGGTAAGGGAGAAGAGAAATGATGGCACATTTCACTGCATTCAACATCCCACGATCCTTCCAGTTTTTGAACAAGGTCTCACTGCCTCCCCAGACACTGAAGTGCTCACACTTTGGGAAGGAAGCTGGCTTTCAAAACCATCCTGCAGGGTAAATGGGGCCTGGAGATGAACAGGATGCAAATAGGAGGCGAGGTGACATGGCTGCATTTCTCCCGTTGAAGCCAGCTCTCTCCAAGGCGGCAAGAAACGCACAGCTCGGTGGTGATAAACGGCCTTGCTTTAGTTATCACTTTCCTTAAGTTAAGGAGAGCAGCCTAGTGATGGATGGGCTGGAATTCGGTTATCAGGGAAGGCTGTCAGCCAGAGTTGCCTATCTCCACACACATTTAGCAGGGTGTCATTATGCGATGGCATGGAGTTAAAATATGACCAAGGGTATTGAAAGAAAAAGAACAGGATTAAAAAAAAAAAAAGGCAAATTGAACAACAATAAAGGAGCATGAGGCAAGAACGTTATCGTACTAGTGACACCTTTTATCTCGGTCTGGTTAGCTAGAGCAGGGCACAAATTGGTCCTTCCTCCACTATTGTATCCTCTTGTACAAACAGAGGCAGATAAAATGTGTCACCAGTGCGATAGCATATCAATTTAACCCTAATTATCTAGAGGGTCAAACTAAGAAATAGGGGTTTCTCATTTCAACAGGTCCCTCCATCTCTGCTCAGAGCCACCACATTAATATGGAAGGGGGAGGGGCAGCTGTAATTGATTTCCGTCACTCAGGTGGTCCTGGTGTATAAAAAATTAATGCTTGATTCTCCCAACTAATCAGAGCTGGTTAACGTCCATCTGCTTCTGGGTTCAGGATGTCAGGAAACAAAGAAATTGGGGAAATTGGGCCACTTGCTACACACTGGGTGTATCGATATCGAGGCAGTTAAAAGAACAAGTCTCTCTATGGGAAGATAAAGAGACATTAAATCTTGGGGCTTATAGACCTGATCGCAACCTTCCAAAAAAATCCATGCCCTGGAGACCTTGCATTGTAAGAGATGCAGAACATTTTAATTGTGTCCCAGCCAACTCCAGTGCACCAGGCTACAAAGGAGAGGGCTGGCAGGCTCCTGACCTGGAAATCCTTCACTGAAGAAGGAAGCTATTTGGGTGCTGCAGCACTCAACGGCACCTAGGTGACAGCCAAAAGGAGCTGTAAAACCACCTCAGCCTGACACTTTAGTTCAAAGCAACGTTGGTCAAGGCATCATTCTGGACCGTGCAGCCCAAAGGTGCTGCTCTGATGTAGACTGGGATGTCTGCCAGGAGAAGAGGAAAGCTTGGGTGTCCTCTCTCAACAGAGAAAACTAGCAAGGGGATAACATCCTGTGCTAAGGCACCTGAGATGTTTTAGCAGAGAAACAGCACCATAACAGGCAAAGCTGCATCTCTCTGCACTTAACCCCACAAGAGCTGGGGCCAAGCTAGGAATTTAAAGTAGCTTAGGTAAACCCACAGCCTCCCAAAAAGGCAACCTTAGGTTGCCAAAACCACTGTGCCAGACCAGGAGGCCTCTGACAGTGCGATGTTACAGCACCCACACACGAGCAGAGCCTCCCAGCCACAAAGAACTGCCCATGCCACACTGCACCCTGTGAAAACTGAAGCATGCTGATACACACCTCA